AAAAAAAAAAAAAAAAAAAAAAAATGATGAGAACACATGGACACGTAGAGGGAAGCAGCACACACTGGGGCCTGTTAGAGAGAAGAGGCTGGGAGGAGGGAGAGGATCAGGAAAAATGACTGATGGGTGCTGGGCTTAATGCCTGCGTGACAGAATCATCTGTACAGCAAACCCCCATGACACAGATTTACCTGTATAACAAACCTGCACATGTACCTCGGAACTTAAAATACAAGTTAAAAAATTTTTTTTCAAATCCTGTTTTGTACCATTATTTTTATCGAAGTTTTCAAATTTATTCTTGGTCAATTCATTACTGACTTTCAAAGGATGATTTTATGTCATGGTAAGTAAGAGTGATTATACATTGGTTATCACAGTAATTTCTGCCTGTGCTGTGATATGCTTATTACTGATGACATATGAAGGTATTTTTCTGTTTCCTTTTCTTATCATCCCTAAACTGGTTTTATGGTATTTCAGTGTCGTCTTCAGTAATCCTAAAGAGTTCCATTCTGTTCCTGCCCAGTTAACCTTGAGCAGCCAGTTCCCTGGAGAGTCCTGGGGTTAACAGGAGGGCCTGCTCATGGTGAAAGTCTGGGATTGGGGGAAAGAGACTAAACTGAAAAAGGGGAACAGCATGTAATGGGGGTGGAGTGGGGCGAACGCAGGTTTTTATAGGGCCTGGGAAGGTCACCTAAAGAGTGCTGTGGCCCAGTGTTTGTACTTGTTTATATTACTAAACTTGAGGAATATTCTTTGCTTCCGTGAAGAAATACACTCTCCTGTGTTCCTTGAAGCAATTAGCCCTACTGTCTACTCCCCTATGTGTAATAAGGACGTGATGGAGTGAATGCACCTGGCGCCCTGCCCGTATCCCCTTTCCCTGACCCCTGTCTGTGCATCCATGCTCCAGCCCTGTGCTAAGGGTGCATAGCTGTTCCCTTACCTGGAGAATTTCCCTGAGCCAAATGGGAATCAGACAGCCCAGGATATCACTCTTTCACCACCCCAGACCCCTTACCTAAAGGTGGGATTAGCTCTATGGTGCCACGTGTCCTCCAGAGCTTCATCAGGGATTAGACTGAAGCTGGTCTTCGGTTGAGACCACATCCTAGCTTGTCTCTGTGTCCTTGCCCTTGCCTGTTTTCCTCATGTTCCTGCTCCCAAAGGCACCCTTCCAGTGAACTACTTGAACAAGAATCCTTGTCTTAGTTTCCACAGTGAGGGACACAGAGATTCAGAGGGTAGTTTTTTTGGCTATGGGTCCAAAAGCAGTGCATGTGCAAGTGATCCCTGTGGCCAAGAAGGGAGGATGTGCCCGTTCAATGGGAGTTAACACTCAACATCCACTGGTGGCTGCTCCATGGAAATCCCAGACCAGGGCTGCCTGGATCTTCCAGTTTTTTAAGGGAAACTAGAAATCCAGATTTTTTAATGGGAAACATTAAACTTATAAAATGTTCATAACTGCTCGTATTTAAAAAAAGTTCTGCCTGGGCAAACAAAATATCCTACCTTCCACCAAAAATCAAAAACTTATCTGCAGAATATCACAGATAATAATCCTCTAAATAATCCTGCCTGAGATAGTGAGGTCCCAGCGGGGGCTGTGTCTAGGAACAGATGAAGGTGTTGCTATGCCTGGGGCTGATGAAATAGGGGAAAGGGGTGGCGAGGGAAACTGCTAAATGCCCACGTAATTCTGAGATGTTTTAGCTTCGCTGACTTATGGTACAGTCGTGTGCCACATAATGATGTTTTGGTCAACATGCATATACGACAGTGGTCCCATAAGATAATAATGGAGCTGAAAAATTCCTGTCACCTAGTGACACCATAGCTCTATATTTTAGAGTGCGCTCCTTGTACTTATATTATAAAAAAGTTAATTGTAAAACAGCTTTAGGCAGGTCCTTCAGGAGGAATTTCAGAAGACGGCATTGTTGTCATAGGAGATGACAGCTCTGTGCTTGTTACTGCTCTTGAAGACCTTCCAGTGGGACAAGATATGGAGTGGATGACAGTGATATTGATGATCCTGACCCAGTGTAGGTCTAGACTAATGTGTGCATTTGTGTCTTAATTTTTTACAAAATTTTAAATATAGAAAAAGAAAATTTTAGGCTGGGCGTGGTGGCTCACACCTGTAATCCCAGCACTTTGGGAGGCCGAGGCGGGTGGATCACGAGGTCAAGAGATCGAGACCATCCTGGTCAACATGGTGAAACCCCGTCTCTACTAAAAATACAAAAAATTAGCTGGGCATGGTGGCGCGTGCTTGTAATCCCAGCTACTCAGGAGGCTGAGGCAGGAGAATTGCCTGAACCCAGGAGGCGGAGGTTGCGGTGAGCCGAGATGGCGCCATTGCACTCCAGCCTGGGTAACAAGAGCGAAACTCCGTAAAAAAAAAAAAAAAAAAAGAAAAAGAAAATTTTAAAATAGGAAAAAGCTTATAAAGAAAAACTATTTTTGTACAGCTGTAAACTATGTTTGTGTTTTAAGCTAAGTGTTATGAGAATGAAAAAGTTAAAGAAATGTAAAAGTATAAAAGTTACAGTAAACTAAGATTCATTTCTTATTCAATAAAGAAAAATATTTTAAAATAAATTTAGTGTACCCTAAGTGTAGAGTGTTTATAAAGTCTACGGTAGCAGCCAGTAATGTCCTAGGCGTTCACATTCACTCACCACTTACCTGCCGACTCACCAGAGCAGCCTCCAGCCCTGCAGGCTCCACTCATGGTGAGTGCCCTACACAGGTGTGCCCTTAAAACAATATATATATTTTTTGAGATGGAGTTTTGCTCTCGTTGCACAGGCTGGAGCGCAATGGTGTGATCTGGGCTCACTGCAACCTCTGCCTCCCATGTTTAAGCAATTCTCCTGCCCCAGCCTCCCGAGTAGCTAGGATTACAGACATGCTAATTTTGTAGTTTTAGTAGAGACAGGGTTTCACCGTGTTGGCCAGGTTGGTCTCAAACTCCTGACCTCAGGTAATCTGCCTGGCTCGGCTGCCCTAAGTGCTGGGATTACAGGCGTGAGCCACTGCGCCCGGCCTTAAAAAGATTTTTATACCATATTTTTATTGTACCTTTTCTATGTTTTAATATGTTTAGATTCACAAATACTTCCCATTGTGTTACAGTCATCTACAACATAGTAACTACAAAATACACTGTGCAGGTTTCTAGCCTAGGAGCAATAGGCTTTGCAATGTGGCCTTGGTGTGTGGTACACTCTACCATCGAGGTTTGTATAAGTACATCCTGTGATTTTTATGCAGTGACAGAGTTGCCTGATGATACATTTCTTAGAACATATCCCTGTCATTAAGCAACACATAACTATAATTTGTCTACTTTATTAACAAAAGCTCAGATAACCATAAGAATTAAGGGATCTGTGTTTCATTCTGGTTTTGTTATTAATTGTGAAGTTGTGTAAACTGCTACCGTGGTCTCGCTGGGCATCAAACTATGGCATGCTAGATTTTCTTTATACAGTCTAGGAAGGCTTTCATAATGACTTTTTGTTAATAATATTGCCTTTTGCATATTATTTTTGTTAGTATTTAGGTCTCATCTTTTTATTTTAAGCTCATCTCAATCATTTTAGTTTTAGATCTTTTGTAAGTACTATGTAGCTGGGCTTTGCTGTTGCTTTTGTGTCTTCATCTTTGTTTCTTCATCCTTTATCTTTTGTTATTATCATTATGAGGTTATTTAAGTTACTCATATTCATTATGACCACATACTTTTTGAATTGTTTGCTGACATCAAATTGTACATTTTGTTTATCATATTTGTTTTTTGTTTATCTCCGTTTCCTCTTGTGGTTTGCAAATTTAATATCCTATTTTTGATCTGGTACTGTTAACCTTCAAGTTTTAAAAATACATTAAAATGAATATTTTCTTTTCAACTTCAATAATTAGTTTCTAAAGTTTCATATTTTAACAAGATTGGATCTTTGGTGTACTTTTATTTCCCTGAGTTTCATTTTCTTTCCTCCAGGGTATATTGAGATCATCTGGAATTTTAGTTCTAGAATATTATACTTTTTAATCTTTACCTTTAAAAAGGCTATGCTTCTTGTGTGTCAGAAATTTTTCTCAAAAAAATTTAGCCAAAATTTTTAGCCACACCATTAACAGTGAATTTGGACTCAACAAATTATTTGTTTAAATCATTCCTTGAGTTATTTTTCTGGAACTTTTTTGAAAAATTTTGCCCAAGAAATGGTGGACTGTGGATAATTTTTGAGTGTATATTTAAATATTTATTTTTTCCTCATTTGAATGTTAACTTAGTAGTTAACTAAATTTTATATGAAAAGTCCTTTTTTTTTCTTGAAATATGTAGGATTTTCTCCTTATTTTGGAGTTTATGATTTTATCAGATTATATTTATGTGTGTCTTTAAAAACATTTCCGTTCTTGCTTCGTAAGCTCTTTCTATCTGAAGGTTCAAATCTTCCTTCAGCTCAGAAAATTACCCTTAATTATTTCTTCCTTTCCGTCATCTTT